CCAAAAAGAAAAAACAAACAAACAAAATAGCCCCATTACAAAGTGGGCAAAAGATATGAAGAGACACTTCTCAAAAGAAAACATGCAAGCAGCCAACAGATACATAAAAAAATGCTCAGCCTTACTAGTCATCAAAGAAACACAAATTAAAACTACACTGAGTTACCACCTAACTCCAGTCAGGATGGCTATCATCAATAACTCAAAAAACAACAGATGCTGGAGAGGATGCGGGGAAAAGGGAATACTTTTACACTGGTGGGAGTGTATACTAGTACAGCCTCGGTGGAATAGTGTGGCAATTCCTAAAAGATCTAAAAATTGACCTTCCATATATCCCCGCAGTCCTCCTACTGGGAATATACCTGGAAGAACTCAAAGCACTCTATAAAAAAGATACCTGCGCATGTATATTTATTGCAGCATTGTTCTCAGTAGCAAGAACATAGAACCACCATGCTGCCCATCAAAAGAGGACTGGATAAAAAAAAATGTGGTACATATACACAATGGAATATTACACAGCCATAAAGAAGAACAAAATCATGAACTTCACAGCCACTTGGATGAACTGAGAGTCTATAATACTGAGTGATCTTTCACAGAAACAAAGAACTGAGTGTCACATATTCTCACTCATAAGCAGATCTTGAATAATTTTTGTAATACTATAAGAAATGGGTTGGCAGTAGTGGGAAACTGCCAGGAGCGGGGCAGGGAAGTGGGATTGGCAGTAGTGGGAATCTGCCTAGGGAAGGGGGGTGGGGCACACCTTATCAACAAGGGTATCTACATGGTGAAAACTTGTATACCTAACCTTGAATTGTACCCCACAGCTTTAAAATTAAAAAATTAAAAGAAAAAAAGAGAAAAATATACACATTCATTTGTATGACTTTTACATTAATGAATTTATATTATACTTCATTATCAAAAAAGGGAATGAGAAATGCAAACCAGATTAAGAGAGTATAGAAAGCAACCAGAATATTAAGTTTATTCTGTTGATTCTTTCAAAGTAACTTAATAAAGTGGAACTTCCAATATATCTGTACCTTAATACCACATTTAAGCCAATTCCTTTGCCAGACTTGGCAGTCTGTTACTTAACAATTTAGTTAAAATTCTCAAGAAAAAGATTTCCTAAAAAATTCTCCATTATGGCTATATCAACCATCTCCTGCAAAATTTCAAAAGCACCAAATAATTTTAGTATAACATAATCACTGAACATCTATTGTTCTCAGAAAAGAACTAAAGTTGGAAAAGTAATTAAAACCAGATCCTAAATGTCAATACATCTGAGCCTCCAGACACTCAATCCACATGTGCTGTGGTTTCCAGTAAAACATTAAAATGAAGTAATTTTTTATTTTTATTATGTTCATGACTTGCAAAATCTAACCAGGGTAAAAAAATCTTCATTTTTCTCATTAAATGCATTATGTAGTGTGTAAGTTTTCAATGACTTGTGCTAAAAAGAGAATTTCTCCTATAGTTATCTTTTATAAGTAAACTAGAGAGAGAATTCCTGGTAAGTTGTGGATAATCTAAACATCTCAATTTAATCACCTTATTTTACTCCCTGTCCCTCTCTTTTGTAAATCCAGATAAGGATTTATGAGTTTGACTTATATGTCACTATCTCCTCCCCCTTCTTTGTCTGTTACCTTTTGGTACTTAATAATTGGGCTGAAAAGGGCAGGAGTAAGAGTACTACTGCTCAGAAATGTGAACCTTGGAGTATATGAAACTGGTTATAAGCCAGCACACACACACACACACACACACACACACACACACACACACACACACTCAAAAACAGGAAGAAGAGAGAAATAAAGAGTAATGAAAAATAAAAATTACTTTTTTTTACAAACTTGAGTAGAACAGTTAATTTTAAGATCACTGAAAATAAGAACATACAATTTTTTTAACTTTGGTCAACACTCATCTCAAGGAGCATTTTAAAAAATTAATAAGTGATGGATATTAAGAGATTATGTCATCACCATGGCAAGTTTCAATATTTCTGAATGATTTCTGGTTATTGGTGAAATGCAATTGATTACTATATAAAAATATAACCCAATATTAGAAATGTTAACATTTTAACTGTTATATTTTAATAACCTTTGGTCTGTCACCTAATCAAAGACCTTTGGAAAGCTTCACTATACCATATTCATGGATAAAACTTTGTGTAAGTGCATGTTTAACTAGTAAATTAATTGTGGTAGGTAAATCATTTTTTAATCTTAGAGGAGTCTTTGGGCTTTTTCTTCTAGTAGGTTACATACATCTAAATATCTTGTAACCCATTTTGTTATTATAGAGTTATAATTTTGTCCAATATGGAAGTTTCTGGTCTTCCCTGGGATCTTTGTTTTGAAAAATAGTGTTTGTTCTTTTCAACTCTTTATGCTATTGAATATAGTACCAGGCAGATTTCTTAGGGTCTTGTTAGAACATTAATATCCATAGTGTGAAATGGAGGGAAATTGACATTGCTAGATGACACTAATGCCTCTTAAAGGAGATATCTTAATGGTGTTACATTTTCCCCTTAAATATTATTACATTGTTCAGACCCAAGAGACACAGCAAAAATAACTTCAAAAAAACTTTCCCACGACATCCTGTTGTCAATCAAACATT